TTGTTAACAGTTTCAGTTTGCTTGGCTCCACAATCAACACTCTTGGTACCAGCAGCCAGGAAATCAAAAGACGAATTGCATTGGGAAAGTCTGCTGTCAGAGATCTCTCCAGAGTACTGAAGAGCAATGATGTCTTTCTGGAGACTAAGGTGCACCTAACTCAGGCCATGGTCTTTGCAATTACGTGCTATGCATCAGAAAACTGGACAATGAGTAGGGATGATAGAAAGAGAGTTGATGCCTTTGAGCTGTGGTGCTGGAGAAGAGTATTGAATATATCATGGACTGCCAAGAAAACAAACAGATTCATCCTGGAGAGGGTTAAACCAGGCTGCTCCTTGGAGGCAAGGATTCTGAAACTTTGACATACTTTGGACATGTTGAAAGGAGGGACCAGTCCTTGGAGAGGGATATCATGCTTGGGAGGGTGGAGGGATCGTGCAAGAGGGGAAGACCCTCTATGAGGTGGATTGATTCAGTGACTGGGGTAATCAGGATGGGACAGTGCAGGAGAGAAAGACCCTGGATGAGAAGGATTGATTCAGTGACTGGGGTAGTGTTGGTAGGTGTGTCAGAGACAATAAGGTTGGTAAGAGGTAGAGTAGGGTTTAGGGCTGTTGTACATAGGGTCGCTTGATGGCACAACAACAACACGTGTTTAGAGAAGTAGGTCAGTGAAAAAGTCTGAGACCCTCAACAAGACATAAGACTACAACAGTGGACATTAAGTACAGCAAAGGCTGTGAGGATAGGGCAGGATCGGGCTTGGTCCCCTTCTGTTGTGTAGAGAGTTTCCTAGAAGGGGGAGGGCAATTCAAAGGGGCTAACTACAACACAAGCTAAACCACTGCACCCCCAGAGGTTCTGCACTCATGGGGCTCTACAAACAGCAAGCCCTCGGGTCGTGGTAGCTTTACAACCCCCATAAGAGCAGCCTTCACACGAGGGGAAATCTGGGTTAGCAGACAGGTCGTCAATAGTGCACACACACACTTAGTTCTAACTTGATGTCAATGTTTTAAAAGCTACTTCTACACCTGTGTAAATCAGCAATGCATGAAAATATATTTTATGCTCAGTTTTCACAAATGAAGAATCACTGCTTCCTCTGACTGACTTGACAATAGGCAAATGTTTGAAACTTCAACTTATGATGCAGATTTCTATTAACAAACGATCATTTAAAACTGCTGTAGCCACATCAGAGTACATTCATTTCTTTGGGGAAAGATTTGGCTACTTAAAAATCACTGCTGTGAGAGTCTCTCTCCTTTTTAAAGTTCAGTCTAACACACTTCTGCCCTCTTTTTAAAGAATGCCTGTCTTTTCAAAGCCCCCATCATCATCTCTTTCAGGGAGCTCTGGTGGAGGGCTTGTAGGGAGTTGCACTGCTGAGCTAAAGGCTTTCCAGCAGGAGTGGCATCCACTTCTAAATAACATGCCTCCAGAAACTCTATGAACTTTGATAAATGTCGATAGTTGTAGAGGAGCTACAAGCCTTTTGTTCATAAGATCGTTATGAGTCCTGCTTGACTCGAAGGCAATCAACAACAACAACAGAGCTCTGGTGGCCTAGTGGCAAGAAGCTACGCTGCAATCCTGAAGGCTCGTGGTTCAAGGCCATCAGCTGCTCCACCAGAGGATGGCCAATCTCCTCCTGTGCGATTAACTGCCTCTGAAAACCCGCCAGAGGGTCAGCTATGGGTTGATTCCGACCTGATGGTACACAACAACAAAGTGGGTCCATGGGAGAAAGATAGGCAATCTCTTCCCATGTAATTTACAGCCTCCAAAACTCTATTAGAAGAGCAGCTTTGAGTCAGTTTTGATTTGACAGTGATGAGAGAAAGCTATCAAACTGGTGTGGTGTCACTTCCTTGTAGGAGTTGTGAGGAATGAGTAAGTTGGAACAGAATACCCAAGAATAGGAAATAGTGCAGTCAGTTTTTCCATCCAGAGGTCTTCCCTGGGCACTGCTCAGGCATGCCAGGTTCTGTTCTCCACACCACACGTCCCACGAGGCCTTCCACCCTGGGCCTTTGCTGGGACCCTTGAGACTTTCAAGTCTCACAGCAGCTTTGCCTTTTATCAGTCCACTGTTCATTTCCATCTTTCCAAGAGTCCACCTTAGCTTCTCAACGAGGATGTGAACAGATGGTGAGAAGGGAACCCATTATGTTCATCTTGGACCCCTTGGACCCCACAAAGGAAGTATAATGACTAAAAGAGGCAGAGCTGGTGCCCGCTCCACAACTTACTCCCTGCGTGTCCCTGATCGATCACCTGACCTCTGAGGCTCTCCTCCCGTGTGCATGCGGTGGCATGGAGGCCTGGAGGTGCAATGGTTAAGTGTTTACTGGCTAACTGAAAGGTCAGTGTTCGAACACTGAGGGAGAAGAAACCTGACAATCTGCCCTTAGAAATTCAGCCACACAGACCCCAGGAGGCAGCTGTACTCTCATGTGTGGTCACTGCGAGTCAGAATGCACTCGATGGCATACAACAACAACAGGGCCCCAGTGAGGAGTAAATGAAGCCCTTCACACACCATTTGTGAAGCAGAAGGGGCCCGGGAAGTGGCGGCTGAATCTGCAGGGACCGTGGTTGGTATTGTAGGTACCTGACCAGTGCAAAGGGCTCACCTTGGTGGTGCAGGTGGCCCTGAGGGGCTCGATGAGGTGATCGACCCTCTGCAGGACAGGGGCGGGACACAGGGTAGCCAGCCGGGCAAGCATGATGAAGGTCAACATCTGCACAGGAGAAAGGAAACAGGTTTGTGATGAAGGAGCTTAGGATGACAGGCTCTAGACCCCAAGCCTGAAGCGTAAGCTTAAATTCTACAATTAGCTATCACCAGAGTCACTCTCTATCTGGGCCTCAGTGTCTTTCTCAATAAAATGTGGAATTCCTACTCCACCAACTACACTTGGCTGTCGTGGGGAGATATGAAGAAAGGGAAAGACAACTCTACAAAATGGCAGGAAGTATTTGGAAGTCATATATCAAATATCCAGAATATTTAAAGAACTCTTGTTGTTGTTAGGTACCGTAAAATTGGAACCAACTCATAGCTGACCCTCCAGTGGGTTTTCAGAGGCAGTTAGATGCATGGGAGGAGACTGCCCATCCTTCTCCTGTGGAGCAGCTGGTGGACTGATTACTAGTGTTATTGGAGAAACACAAGCAGCTATTTTCAGGGGCTGCCAGGTGCTGGGAGTGGGGGACAATCAGGCAGGGGGCCCAGTGTGGGCACAGGGCTCGGTCCTACCCGGATGTCGTAGTGGTCCTTGAGCCCGTCCTGCACGTGGTTCAGGAACTCGCAGATGTCTAGCTGGTCCAGGCAGCTCTCCAGCAGTGAGTACATGCACTCGAAGGCCGCCTTCCGCACGTCCAGCCCATCATCCACAGCGTGCTTAAAGGGCCCCATCTCCACCTGCATCGGCGAAGATGGAGAAGTAAGGGATGTGACTCCAGGGTGTAAGAACACTTCCCAGCTCCTTCTACACATCCGAGCACCCACCCCATACACACTGTCCACTGCCCCACACTCTCAGCCCTAGGCTTCTGCCCAGGCTACTTCTTAAGCCTTCAATACCTTTCTTCCAAAAAGAATCGTAATAAGAATAAAATCACCACACCAGCTAAGCAGTGCCTCTGTGCCAGGCATGGTCATGGATGCTTGATACAGAAAAGCTAACGTAAGCATCACAAGAGGAAGTATGATCACTGACTCCTGTTAATAAATGAGGCTCAGAGAGGTTAGCTGCCTCACCTAAAGACAAAAAGAAAGGACGTTACAGACCAATATGGAAACCCCAGATCTCAGGCGGAGTGTACACACAGCGGCACACACCACTCAGCCATGAACTAAGACCTGCCACGACTTGGATGGAGCTTAAGCACATCATGCTGAGCAAAGTGAGAGTGTCACAAAAGGACAAGTCGAGTATGATGTCACATGAAATTAGCAGTTCTCAAGAAACCAAGTATTAGTGGTTTGTAGGGGTGACAGGAGCAGTAAAAGAGAATTGTTGCTTACAGGCACTGAGCTTATATTAACAGAAGTGTCATAATTCAGAAAAAGATGGTGAAAGTGACTGCACAACTTAATACAATCAGTCACTGAATGATCCATGTGGAAATTGGTAAGCCAGACAAACAGAAAGAAACAGAAAAGCCAGACCTCTCTGTCTAAAATCACCAGGTGACGGTGAACTCTACTTACTCATCAAAGGCAACCCAGATGCCTGCTTCCTGGGAACCTTTTCCAACCTCTATACAGTCACTTCCTCCTTTTAATGTCAGGCACTACTGATATTTTCATTACATGTAGGATAACTTAGCTGTGAAAGCACCCTTTGTCCCCTGAATCGTTACTTCACAAAGTAGACTCTAAATACTTGAAGCTGAATGATTAGCTGTTGTAGGTACCTGCCTCCTCCAGGAAGGAGCTCCTTGGTGGCCAAAATGGTTTGGTTCACCTCTAAGTCTTTGCACTCTCACAGGAAGGAGGTGCAAAGAACCCCTGAGAAAGGGGGAGTAGTAATAAAGTGAACCCAACCACACACCTTGAGCATCTCTAAGCATCCACAGGCTTGCCTCACTGTATCTTCATAACAACCCTACAATGCAGACTCTTGTGTGACTCTTATTGTGCCCATGAGGGGAAAATGAGTTGCAGAGGGGGTAGGGCCATAAACCAGAAAGTGGAGGGCAGAACTTGCTCCAGGCCAGCTGGGCTGGTACCGTGCTGGTGAGCTTTAACTTGGCCATCACCTCGGCCCGGCCAGTCAGGTACATGAGGTGATGGTACCCCAGGTCCCCACAGGAGCTGCACTAACACCCAGGCCTCTGGGCCCACTCTTGCCTGACCTTACCTCGCGGATGAGGTCCCGGCGGACCTTTGTCTCCTGATAAAGAAGCGGCAAGATGTCACCCAGCAGATCCCGGACGAGTGAGGGCTTGTTGTGTACGGCCGAGTTGAAGAAAGCCAGTGTGGCCCGGCGTACATTCAGGTCTGGGTCCTGCAGGCTCTCCATGAACTCACCTGGCAGAGGGTCAGAGGGGGTGTGAGGGCGGCGTAGCCAAGGGAACACAGGCAGTATCTACCTCCGGCTAACAAGCTGGGCAGAGCTGGCTAAATGGAGGAGGAGGGAAGAGCTAGGTCCCTACTTTGGGCCAGACTCACAACCATTCAAAGCCAGTATGAGAATAAGGACTCTAATATGACCTTGAATCTATCAGACTTGAATCAAATCCAGGCTCTGTCTCTTACTAACTATGGGGAACCTCAATGTCCTCATCTGTAAAATGGGTTAATAGTGGAAACTGTCCTGTAGGGCTGTTTCAGGATTGAAAATGAGGTAAAGAACACAGAGAACCTTTTAAAGTATTGCTTATAGAGCAAAACACAACCACCACCACCACTGCTATTGTCAGCTCCCACTTGTGATCACCTACAGTGCGGAACAGAACTGCCTCACAGGCTTTCTGAGGCTGCACTCTTTTTGGAAGCCATCTGCCTCATTTGTCTTCCATGGAGCAGATGGTGGATTTGAACCTCTGACCTTTTGGTTGTTGTTGCTGACTGCCTATGAGTTGAGCACAACTCACTGTGACACTATGAACAAAAGACCCGAAGCCTTTCTATAACTATCCACATTTATCAAAGTTTATCAAAGTATTTAACCATCATGGTACCAGAGCTTCACACTGGCAAGGACTTCATAGATACTAACTCAGTATTGTAGGTCAAGGTTCCTGAAGCATCAAGAGGTGAGGGAATTGACACAAGTCTCACAGTCCTCATGCACAGGTAGGTCTTGTGGAGCTGTGTTAATGTTTTACATATTTGCTAATTAAATAAAATCAAGAATATGGGAATCACTAAATAGACTAACTGAAATTCAAATTATTAACATTTACCACCAGGTTATGGAGGGAAAGCAACCAACTCAGGTAACTCTGAGGCAAAGTATTTTAACTAGGCACCCGGACGAAAAGACAAAAAGACCTAGAAAAGGGAGCTCTGGTGGCCTAGAGGCAAGAAGCTACACTGCAATCCCAAAGGGGCAAGGTTCGAATTCACCAGCTGCATTGCTGGAAAAGGAGAGGCAATCTCCTCCTGTACCAGTAGGATCTGATTTGACAGTACACAAGAAGAAACAAAAAGAGCTAGACGATAAATCTTGATTTCTTTTAAACAGAGATTAGGTCGAGCTGTCATCATACTCCTCCCTGTGTCCTAGGATTGTGAGCAGCCCTGGTGTTGGCTCCCCTCTCAAGCAGCTCTGCATGAAGGAGTGAAATGTGAAATGCTGCCTGGCCCTGCCACCTGCACACACTGGGGACTGCACTGTCTGCAGTGTTTTACTGACTGGTTTTCAGGAGCCCAAGACCAGGCCTGTCTGCTAGTTGGTCTTAGCTTGGAAGCATCCTTGAAACCTGCTCGGCAGTGCTGCACTAGGCAAGCCTCCACCAACAGGTGGCTACACGGGCAGGTGGGGTGCTGGCCAGGAGTCAAGTGTGGTCCCCAGTGGGAGGCAAGAATTGAACAGCCAGTGTGGGCAGTATGGGCAACTCTAGGATTGAGTAAATCCAGGTAGGTGATGGAGCTGGGCCTCTCACTGTACGAGAAGGGCATTACAGACATGCAAGGGAGGGGGCTAGAAGGAACTCAGTGTGTAACCTGGAATAGAGGCAGTTAGGAAAGCATAGTTTTATAGGTAAATAGACTTACAGATGTGTATTAAGATTTAAATCTTGTCTCCCCCAAATGTGCCCCATAAATTCCAATCCCTTTCACTGTAGTTGTAATGCTGTTGGAGAACAGGGGTGTGCTTTTTTTGCTGACTCTGAGAAGAATGGGAATCCCAGAACATTTAATCAAAACCTATGCTTGGAACAAGAGGCAGTCGTCAGAACAGAGCAGAGTAACACTGCATGGTTCAAAATTGGGAAGGGTGTATGCCAGGGATGTGTCCTATCTCCATACCTTTT